GCGTGACATTCTTACAACACATAAGAGACAATTATACAGTGTAATATCATTGTCCGTAATATGGTTTAGTAAATTTTTCTACCGATTATGCGACTTTCTTGCATCTGAATTTTGATTGGTTGTTCAAGGTCAATGTGGGTTTGGCTAGGATAGTTTAACTAAATTAACTAAATTGATTTTTTACTTCCCGTTGATTGGCTATGTTGGAGCGAAATACACGATCCCAGTTAACTTGTCAGATGGAAGTGCTGACGTTTTGAAAATGTCTGATGATTATAATGTTATGATTTGATGAATGATGAGACTGGCAGTAAAATTCAAGATGCACATTTCGTCCTGTTTGGGACTCATCATCTGGGTGTATCTGCAAACTCTGGTGAGTCACATGGTTTCCCCTGAGATTTAAACCCTGCATGCAGGGTTCGGGTCTCAGTGGGGACACCATCACTCACTGGAGATTGCAGGTACATCCAGATGACGAGTCTGAAAAAAAAGACGGCTGACCGTAATTGACCAAATAATATTAATCTGCGATTCACCACAAATCCATATCAAAGGAAAAGATATTTTAAAACAGGATAAAAAGTTTGCCTAATAATCGAGGCAAGATAACGCATACTGGACACATAAACACCATAAATTGGGTACTCAGTACTTACAGAAACTTCCACTAACTAATCATATTGCAACACTGAATGAGTAAAAACATGGAGTTTAAAAACCTTTATTAGAATGAATATAAGAATAAATTTGAAAAGCTGACACGAGTGGGAAATTCATTGTTCAATTAAAAAAAAACGTAGAAAGTAAACTATTTTTTGAATTCAGTTTCTGGAACAGATCTTTTATATTTCAGGTCATAAACCATACTATTTTTTATTGTTTGCGGGTCGGTGATACCACCCAGTTGCCCATGCTGAGGTAAGTGGAACAGGGTTCGAACCTAGGACCCAGAGAGTGAAAGCCAAGTGCATAGGCAAGTGAGCCATATCACCACTGAAACTAACTAAACTAACCACAGGCCACACCAATAAATTACGCAGTCCAACCGTTACTGTTTTTAAGAGATATTCAATACAATAAAATATATATTAAAGCATTAGTGATTTAAGCGTAGAATGGTCTCCAAACAAGAACATGGATGGGGTTTGATTCCCGGCCGGTGCATTCCTAAACCCAGCCTAACTTGTAGTACGCGCGGAAAAGAGGAATGGTTGGGCGTGAAGCTAGTAACCTCACTCCATTCAAAAGAACATCACCTCTAGTGAAGCATCAAAGTTCGATGCCCTGCGGTCCACTCGGAACGCAAAGGAATCAAAATAAAAAGATAGAATGTATAAAACATCTTGAAGCCAAGGTTTCCATTCCAGTCGTTATTTATTCCACACATAATATTTGTACTAAGATGATTGCGTGTTTCAAGGTAAGGCTCGTCAAGAACCGACATGAGTTAAAGAAGGTTTGAAAACGAAGAAGGACTGGACAAGTATTCCGTCATGATTTAGCCCTCTATAGCAATATAAACCTTTGACTCCAATCGTGGATTGATCCCAGGATCATTAGATTATCATGCGAATACGTCTAACATTCAGGTACTTTGTGGGAAATCAATGGGTATATGAAGTTTAAATGCTACCAAACTCGCCATATGACATCACCCCCTTCAACACTGGTTACTGGTGAGTAAATATTCTCATATTCAACTTGGTGGACACCTCCATTCAATTAAGAATTCTTATTAGAAATCTAGAAATTTCATCTTCTTATAGTCAATCACAAATGAACAGTGGATTGTGATTCATAAAAATATGGTTACAATAAGTTTTCCTGTATATCTCAGAGATCAGTTACTGCAGGGTAGAGTTGCTCATAGTGAAGTACAGAGTTTATGGGTTTCATGACTACGCTCACTTTACATTTTAAGATATCAGTCTGTTGTATAAGACAATAGTTGACAAACAACTTAATTATTTCAGAATATTTTAATTTGTAGGTGATAAATTTACCAAACTATAAGAAATAATTGTCGATTCAGTGTCCCCATATGGCTCGCACATCACCGAAAGCGTTTCCAATACGCTGCTGCCTTCGCCATCTTCATAGTGAAAATCAAATGATAGGTTAGAAAGAAAAAGGCATAAAGAACTCTGACAAAGAACCTATAAGATCTATAGGAGGAAATGGAGAGAGATTGAATATATACTGAGGATACTGTTGGATGAATTCTGATGAGTGGCTGTCGAGTGGAAATCTAATTAATTGACCGTAAAAGGGGGGAATTGAGGCTTGTAACGACAGAAGATAAGGGCCAAGCAACAGATCGTTTATTGAGAAAATCAACAGATATTAATAGATTTTTATGTACATTATTGCCAGAGGATAATCAACGCCTTCTGATTGGTTGTTTTCTTGCTCAAGGTTATTCTCTACTACTTGTGAACATCTCTTAGAAATTTAAGCCATATACCTGCGGATCGTATTTGCACACTTTAAGTCTGCTGTGATTGGTTGTTGAGTTCCTCAAGGTTAACCTTTGTTATTGCTTTTTTTTCTCATGACCCCGATTCGAGACATAAACATTGACGTAAATTGTTGTCTACAATTTTCGCTTGCAGACAGCTCTCACCGCAAGCTTACGGACAATCGTAGAGCTAGCTGCAAAGTGGCAGCATAAAACAGAGTGAAATGTAAATTTACTGCCGAAGCTCATGTCCCACTCAGAACCCAAAGGAATCATAACAATAACACAATTTCAGCGAATGAATAAATGAGCGAAAACCTTAAAATTGATTTTTCTTAAAATTATGTATAAAAATATGCATTCAAAATCAGTTAAACTGTCCTTAGATATTATTGTCAACAATCTACATCATCAAGTAAAGCAAACACTCAACTGACAAGCCATACAACAACTTACTGAAATACAGTAAAATTAATTAAGTAGTATCACGCATCCTTTCAAAAAACAACAAGAATTCTTATTTTTCCACTTGAAAAACACAATTGTGTGACATTCATTCAATCCAAAAGTGTAGATCGATAATGTGAAAAAAATGTTTATTTAAAACACATAAGAAAATGAAACTCAACTGGACTGCAGTCATTAAGGCGTACACTACAGGCTCATATATATATATATATATATATATATATATGATTACTTTCTATTCAAGCTTGAGCTCTGAAGTATCCCTGATAGTGATTTTGTTTTCATGAGGTGGGGTTGCTACTCTTACACCCAACCTTTAATCTGAACCGGTTTTATTGAGGGTAAGTAAAAATTGTGCAACCAAACTTGGATCGCATGTGTGGTTGGCGATCATTCTACCAATAAACAAACCACCCACACATTATTATCCTACTTATTCCCTTCATTTTGATTTCATTTCTTTGCGTTCTGAGTGAAACATAGAGCTTCAAGCTAGAGGTTTTACTTCCCTTAGTTGGTTGTTGGTCTGGTATAGGCGGAGGGTTGGATGTGAGGTTGACAACCCCACCCCGTGAGAACAGAAGTAGCACCACAGCTACCAAAACTTCAAGCTTCTAGCTTGAAGCCCTATGTTCCACTGTGAACGTAAAGGAATTAAAAAAGATTCTTAATTATCATTGTGTTATTTAGATACTGATCAGTAAAATCCCCTGTTTTTCTATCTATCATGAATGTAGTTTCGCATTTTTAATGTTATTAGGTTCTGTTAAACAGTACGAAGATCGATTAGCTTAGGGACATTAAAAAATGGCAAGATAAGCAGCAACATGGTAGCTGACATAAGGATATACTTCAGAAGCGCGGGGCATTGGCGGTTCAATGGTAGAACATTCGCCAACCACACACGTGGTCCGGGGTTCGACTCCCACCCGATATAGTCGTTAACCTCGTTAAGCTGTTAGTAAGATTAGTGAAAAAGGAAGGTTGGGCGTGAGACTAGTCACCCTACCCCTTGAAAATAAAACACGACTGCTACCGAAACTTCAAAACTCAAGCTTAGAGCCCTATGTTCCACCCGGAACATAAAGGAACATTTAAATCACTGTGCTGTAAAAGTCACCTTAATCTCTTTACAGTTAAAATTCTCCATATGTATCGCTTTATTTTGCGCCATTAATATATTATCTTTAGTTTGGTTTGTAAGGGTCAATTTTGTTTTTGCGAGTTGACCACGGATTGATATCACTTAGAGAACCATTGAAAACCAGCCACAGGGAGTACTGGACAGCTGTTTCATCCTAGTTTGGGAATCATCGGCAGTACAAACCGTCAACAGGGTACGAACCCAGGACCTTCCGGTTACAAGGCAAGCAGGCTCGTATACCATTCAACCACTGGGACCCGATTCATTGGCTAGCACGTGAATTCTAACTTCTACCAATTCGTGATATAGCGCGACCCCAACCAGTGTCGTCGGTGGGACATCCATCCTCACACGTGACATCTGGATGAATCTCACTGGTCACGACTTCTCACTAGAACTCCAAGAAACTCGGTCCTGTAGCAAGTCACTAGCGAGCATCAGATTAATTTTCTATAGTTAGAATTCATGAGCCATTAAATCGCGTCCCAGTGGCTTAATGGTATACGAGCCATCTTGCCTTGTAACCGGGAGGTCCTGTGTTCGAACCCTCGCAGTGGGTGCGTACTGCCGATGATTCACAAACTAGGCTGACGAGACAGCTGTCCAGTAGTCTCTGTGGCCGGTTTTCAATGGTTCTCTAACTGATATCAATCCGTGATCAACTCGTAAAAATTTATATTAGTTAAATTATATGACTATCCAAAGCTTGATGACGAAAATTAATGCATACACCACTAAATACTTTGATCGGTAAAAACTAAGCGATTTACATAACAAAGTATGAATTCACTTGATAGTTGTTAGTAGCTGCACTGATATCCATAACACAAATCAAAACAAAATCACCTCACAAAGATACAATACATATCGACATCTTTTTTTTCCACAAATACGTGGCTGTATCAACTTGAAAGACTTTTAAAAAAACTAATCAATTATGGCGCGTTTTTGATATGTCTTTACAAATCCATAGATGATTACTGATGAAAACTTCAACACACAAAACACCAAAAGAAAACAGGTGAAAGTACTGTAGTAAACTTACTAGAATTACAGATCCTGGATCATAATTATCTTGTCGAATTAATGTCACTCCATACCAAAATACTAAAGCTGCAGACGCGTATATCGACATTCCAACAAAACCACCAGCTGGAATATTAAAAAAAACAGACAAAAGGTGCTCTCAATGAAATAAAGAACGAAATACATTAAACCCAATATACAATTATAAACTTCAGAGAAGAGACTCTTTTTGGCGAATTCATTTCACTGAGCTGTACAATCGCATTTATATACAATTTTGTTTGTGTGTGTGTACATTAGATTTATAAAGTTTAGATAATTATGTAATATAAGTAATTTTTGGCTTGGAGACAAACGTTAAGATAGAAAATAAAATAGAGTTGCTTAAGTGAATTGGATGACGTAATACTGTTGAGTAGAATTCAGAGTAGGTCAGGTTGGCAACAGTGTTAATGAGTGGTGGTTAAAATTAAATAAGAGTGGGGTTAGAGAATAATACAGTTGAAAATAAGTAAGTTAATCGGATGACGTAACATAGTTGACTAGAAATTGGACGTGGGTTAAGTTAGCAACATTGTTAATGAGGGTAGAGATTACAAAAGGGTGGGGTAGAGAATAATATAAATGAAGATGTGAAATAATAAAATGCAAAAGACAAAATAATACAATTAGTAAGACTGAAATTAAGAAAGATTACGTCCACTGTAGATTTAATGAATGAACGAATTTCTTTTGTATACAGAGTTCAGGATTTAGCAGGTGAATTGCCATTGCTTCTGCGATGTGGAGAAGTTTGATCCGTACACTTTTAGCAAGATTGCCTTGTATTGTGTAGATAACTTTGAAGTTTATTTCTGGTTTGACTTGGTGTCCAGAGTCGATCAAATGTTCAAGGATCGAGATGCGGGGGCATCGGTTTTCTACTTTATAATCTCTACCCTCATTAACAATGTTGCTAACTTAACCCACGTCCAATTTCTAGTCAACTATGTTACGTCATCCGATTAACTTACTTATTTTCAACTGTATTATTCTCTAACCCCACTCTTATTTAATTTTAACCACCACTCATTAACACTGTTGCCAACCTGACCTACTCTGAATTCTACTCAACAGTATTACGTCATCCAATTCACTTAAGCAACTCTATTTTATTTTCTATCTTAACGTTTGTCTCCAAGCCAAAAATTACTTATATTACATAATTATCTAAACTTTATAAATCTAATGTACACACACACAAACAAAATTGTATATATATGCGATTGTACAGCTCAGTGAGTGAATTCGCCGAAAAGAGTCTCTTCGCTGAACGCCTTCTTTTCTTTTATATGACTGAATGGGGATTTTCAAGTTAATTATAAACTGATTTCGATCGTGAAATTAATCGAAATCTCTAGAAAAACCCATAATTTAAATATTGATCTACAGCTCATTGATGCCTATTGCAAGAATTTCTTGAAGCTGAAGTAAGAGATAGTGACCAGTGAGGCCCAATATGTTCAAGTGAAATGGAGGTTAATCGAAGAGATTGATGACAGTGGCGCTATATAACAAAATGATAAAGTTAGAATTCACTTGGTCAGTGAACTACTGCCGAGGTGGCTGAATAATCAACAAGTTTAGTTATGCAACCTGAAGGTCCAGGGTTCAAGACGAAGTGCACATCCAGGATTTCACTGCTAGATACCATCAACCAAAATAGCTTTGTCTTCATTTATTAAACATAATAGACAGTTATTATTATTTATTTATTTAAACGCAAAAAAATCTTGGTACAATATGGCACCAAGAAAGATGCGCCACACAATAATAATAAAACAACATAGATTAAAAGTAAAAATATAAGTAGAAAACGGATAAAGAACTTCATCTGGAAGGAAAACAGTCATGTTTAACAAGTTCAAATAGTATTCGTTAACTATCATCAGGAAGGGAAGAAAGAAGGAAATTGCAACACGTTCGCCATTGATTACGATTCTTGACCATATCTGATAACGTTTCGAGCCATCGATTCGAGGTATCTCGCGGACCCCAACCAGGGAGTCGTGACGCACCAACCGATGCTAATCTAGCACAAATATCCTTCATCCCACGACGCCATGTCATGGACTGACCACCTCTCCGCCTTTTCCATCCCGTCCCAGGGCTAGCGAACAGAGACCTGTACGGAAGCCTCTGAGATGATATTCGCAGCACATGTCCAAGCCACCGGAGCCGGTGTTTCCAGATGACGACACTCAATGAATGGTGATCTCCACTGTGTCCAAACACACGCCGCCGAACCTCAGAATTACTCACGCGATGATGCCATCGAACACAAGCAATCCTGCGGAGACAGCGATGATCGAATACGCAGAGTCGCCGCACATCCTTAGCTCGGAGAGGCCAGGTTTCACAGGCGTAGAGCAGCACAGCCAGCACCGAAGCATTTTATACCCGACCTTTGACAGCCAGGCTAACGTCGCGACGGTGCCAGAGGTGGCACAAGTTGATGTATGCCACCCTAGCCTTCATTATACGGTTAGAAATCTCATCCGTCACCCCTCCACCAGCACTCACACAACTACAGTAAAGCCATATCATATACTGGGTAAATTTTCAAACCAATCAAATCCCTGAGAACCAAAACTTAACCTGATACTCACTAGCGACTGGCTCTATTCAGGTAGGTAGTTACCCAGGTTCTAGTGGAAAGTCGTGACTAGTGGGGTACAACAGGTCGGCTTTGAGGACGAATACCCGCCACCATTGCCTATTGGTCGCCCCATATCGTAAACTGGCAAGGGTTGGAATCCTTAGGCCATTAGATCTCATCTCAGTGGTGCGCCTCATAACCAGAATGTCCTAGAATCGAATCCTGGCGGTAGGTGCGTACTTTGAAGAGTCCCGAATTGGGAAGAAACAGCTTTCCGGTACTCCCAGGTTTTCAAATAGTTCTTTGGCCGATATCAGCTCATGATGAAATCCTGTGACTTATTTTCTGTTGTTATATTGCGAGGAGGTGGGGAGGGCAAGAAAAAAATTTACGATGTATATCCTGTAATTCAAATTTTTCCTCTATTTGTAAAGATACTACAGTTTTATGAACATTTGGTAGTGGTTCCGAATTATTTCGATTATGTGTACTTATTGCTTACTCAATAGACAAATCTCCAAATATAAATCTATTCTTATTTCCAATTACATCACCTTTCAAAGTTGTTACTCTACTCTACTCTCTTGTAAGATTGTATGCAATTGTATACATTAGTACAACACAATCTATACTATATTGAACACCTGGCTGCCTTTCCATGCTTTATTAATTTGGTTGACCTAGATTGACCACCTTAACTGACACCCTTCATTTCATAATCATGACATGTTAATTAATGATGGTCAAGAGGTCAACAATTTAGTTTCTTTATTTCTCTATCCTACTAAATCTCTAATCTGCTTATGAGTTAGTGAAAAATTAGTGCACAAAACTACTAGAAGTCTGTCTGTCTGTTTTCGACATAGAACTTTGCACTAATGTGCATCAGTTCAAGTCGCCACACACCATGTAATATACAAAGCAAGAGAAGAAAGTAGAAGAAATGCAAAATAGAGACAGCAGACAGGGATATGAGACAAAAGGGAATAGTAATAACGAAGAACGATATAGTTTAATTGGAAATAATAAGTCACAAGGAGTAGATGCATCTGCGCAAGTCACTGGGGTCGATTTTGAGCCATGTCACCGATTGTCTTCAGCCTTCATTGGTTTTTACCGTCCCGAGGACCCCAACCAGGAAGCCAGTCTACACCTTCCTAAGTGACTGGCTTAAACTAATTGTTGTGGATTTCATTGACTGGTGCCATGTTTTGGTTTGATCGCCGCTAGCTCTTTTCCAGCCTGACCCTATGTCAGCTAACATTGCCCGTCGAGGAAGGCGATGATTAGGCATACGTAACACATGTCTCAACCATATCAGTCGATGTAATTTCACAGTCTCGTCGATTGATTTCCCCTCCTTACCTAGCACTCGACGCCTAACCTCAATATTGCTCACCTTATTATACCACTTCATATGGGAGATAGAGCGCAGGCACCTATGATCAAAGACAGCTAGCCTTTTCATGTCTTCCACTTTCAATGGCCAGGTCTCACAGCCAAAAAGGAGGACAGAGCGAACTGCTGAGCAGTACACCCACCCTTTGGTCGATAGCTGGATATTACGTCAATGTCAGAGACGGCGTAAACTGGCATATGCAAAACTAGCCCTCTCTATGCATGCTGAGATTTCGTCAGAGATGCATAGAAGTGCAGCACTTCACGTTGCAACACTCCGTATATCACAGAAAGGTTTGGGAAAGAAGGGAAGAGATTTCAAAGAACCATAATCAACAGAAATATACGGGAGAAAGAATAGTAACATGGAAAACATGGCGGTTTAGTGGCCATGAAACACCACACACAATAAAATGACAACGATTTTAAGTCACATCACCAACAGTTTTAAACCATTGGTTCTTAGAGTTCCAGAAAGTCCAACCAGGTAGTCTAAATTTCTCAGTAGAGCTCAAACCAACAGTCAAAGACTTCAATTTTTCATTTAACCACCCTTAATTCTTTCCCAACTTAATCCTATATCAGTTAACATTACCTGTCGAGGAAGGCGATTAGCCAGCATGCAACTATCTTCTTTTCGTTAACTGAAACATTTTAATATTTATACTGATCTTAAAAGCTTGTAACTCACAAAATTCATGTGCTCGTAGAAAAAACTAACTCACTCAGAAGACTTAGAAGGCACTAATCTCAGGAAAGATAGTCAGTTAGTACTAAGTAGGGTAATGCCCAATGATAGAGTATTGGTTCAAGTCATCATACCTTATATTAGCACATAAGTATAAATTCAACGAGAATAAAGTAAAACAAATTAAAATAATATTACCAGGAGTCTACAAGAAAAGTAAACACGAAACGCCTTTAGTAATCCAATTCACGTCAAATCGAAAGATAAACCCACAGATATCTTTCGCAACACCAAATATAATACATGCATAAGTAATGGCTGCATTTAGATACTCAAAATGAAGATAGATTCTTATAGTATGAAATAGATTGAACATTCGAATATGGTGTACAAAGATAAATGAGTCGGGCTTACCGAATCCAAGATAACCAGCGTGTTTTGTGCCAAACGAAGCAGCTTCATCCAAATTACTGCTGTAACGAATAACCTCTTTACTCTCAGCACCAAAAGCTATCACCGTCCGTATTGCACTCAACACCTCCTCTGCAACTGCACTACACTTGGAATATGCATCATGCTCTTTCTGAGTGAAACGTCTTGCGAAAGTACCAAACAGAGAAAAGCCAGTAAGCACTAACGGTAGTGTTGCACAAGCGACTAAACTAAGCTTCCAACCACATACAAATGCAATAGATAGGCTAAATACGAAACTTGAGATGTTTTGAATGAATTCATTCAGTTTCTCTCCTACACCAAGACGTATATTAGTTGTATGCTCAGTCAGTTTATCCATAAGGCCTCCAATATTATGTTCATCCAGCCATGCTATGTCTTGACTCAATATTGCCTAAATAAACAATAAAAGAATGAAGAATGTGAGAAATAAATAAGCGCATTATATGACAAATGGGATTGAAAATACATGGTATGCATATTCATACATAATCAACCGACTCTTAAACTTTGTTTTATGATGAAAGGCACACCATAAAACGACTGTCTTCATTCGTACTCAGCAAAAATAGTCTATAGGAATTTAAGGAAGTTAGATCATATGCAACGTAGGTAAAATAACCACTTTTTACAAATGGACGCCTGTAAGTACCCGAAGAGACTTTTATTGCTTACTTCTTACACCTGATGATATTGTAGTTACCAATCATCAAAGAAAGCTCTTGATGAATAGTAATAATAGTGGTTTTAAACATGAATGCAAGAATAACTAAGACCTTTAGAAAAAACGTCTTGTCTATATTTAGAATTTTAAAATGATCAAACTGTTACAGTCTCAAAAAGTAACACCTACCAAGTTAGTTACGAGGATGTTTCTAATTCTTTAGAACTGAGAGCATCAACTGTTACCTATCAGTACTATGTATACGACGGCTCTTATGGGATAATGTGTGCAGGTCTCCTGATATGTGCTACTTTTAAAAAAATATTCGTGAGCGCTATCACAAACTACTGGTAGGAAGAATGAAAGTCAAATAAGGTCAGACGAAGCACTTATTCTTAGATGATTTATCTTCAAGCCTTGTCCGTTGAAGAAAGAAGCTTCATAAAGATCACAAATGTCATCAGAGTTTGAACTGCTAAATTCTTAATTATTCGCAAGGAAACGTGACAAAATGTGCAACCATGCGCATTGGACAAGCAAGCACGAGCTCTTATGAACCAGAGGGAATTACACTTCCATCAGTTCAGACTTACTTGGACTTAGGTGTCATAGTTAGCCACGGCTTAAAAACTACAGCACACTGTCGCGCAGTGGCTGCACGTAGTTTCAGGTCATTATGGGCAATTCGTATAGCCTTCACTAGAATCACCAGAGATATGTTCACCTCCTTATATACATCCCTGGTGAGGTGAAGACTGGAAAACTGCATCCAGGCCGCCAGCCCTTGTCTAAAAGGGGACTCACTTATTCTAGAAAGGGTTCAAAGGAAAGCAACACGTATGATTCATGGCATGACTAACTTATCATACGAGGAAAGACTAGACAGTTTAAATCTCTTCTCCTTGTCATACCGTAGGCAGAGAGGAGATTTAATCACAATGTTTAAAATTTTAAATAATGACTACGGACCTGACCTATTTTCTCTTTTCCTTCCCACCAGGTCGGAACACCTTAGAGGACATAGCAGGAGAGTTCAAAAGCCAAGAAGAAATCATATTGCTGTTGAGTACTGGTTCTCACACAGAGTCATAAACTCTTGGAACCGACTCCCAGAAGAAGTGGTGTCTGCAACCTCAACTGATTCGTTCAAGAAGGGTTTGGACAACCACAGAATTTTACTAGAAAAGGATTAACATAGGCTCCAAGCCTTCTATCCTCAACCAATAAATCTGAAAATCTGAAATCTGAAAAATCTTGCACTGTTCACGAAAGGCTCGTTTCAGTCCCTTGACTGTGTTCTAAACCACTATTTTTCGTTCCGTCAGCTTAATTAGTAATGCACATGTGCTTTATCTAGCTAGGTATACAACACGATAATAAATACCATAAGACCCTTGAAGCATTGTTCCTACAGCAATATTCTATCTTTTGAATCTCTCACAATCCGAAATGCACGCAAAACCTCCAAACACCACCTGTTAGCAGGAATGACGTCGTTCACTAACTGAAATATGTTTCGGGAGAGGAGATTATTAGCTAATTTTAATGCCCAGAAGATTCCAAGCAGGCAAATAACAAGGCTTACTTGATGCAGCGGTAGCAAATGACAATTTGATCAATTTTAACTCTCTTCCTACCAAATCCTGCTCCAGTATGCATTTAAAGTGCCATAAATACTTCGCAATACCATTGGATTACACTTATACACCGGTGTTAAAAAGAAAGCCTAAGACTGACGAGGTATACCCTATAAAGTTACGGATGACAATAAGCCACATTTTTTATAAAATGACAAGTGCTTGTTTCAAACAAGAGCTCGATGTTAACTGAAGCATAATAAAAAAAAAGCAGAAGAACAATTATACAAAGACGCTAGGCTAATTCCTGATTTTGCTGCAAGGCATCTCCAGAGGTTTTCAATGAGTATGAAGTATTGAATAAATAAACGCTCGAATGTACAAAGATTTCTTCGAAAGCCTAGATAATGAAAATGTTTATCATATATTTCAACATTATTTGGGCATTTCATTTTCAGATGTTTTCCGATAACTGAACTTTCGTTTTGTATTTTCTTCGTTTAATTTATGATTGGAGACCGGAACATAACAGATTAGTGCATTTTCAGTTGATGAGTTCTGCTTAGAGGTTACTTCATAGCAAGCAGAAACTAAGATTCCTTGCTGCAATCAAAAAAATTATAGACTTTATTAATAGATTACCTATTGTCGCGAAAAATTGGTGTAACTGACTGTCGCCCGTATCGTTAGCTACTTTCCGATAACAAACACTTCACTTCACCGTGTTCCAAACATCTGACTTTAATAATGAATTAGGCGTAAGATGAATAAGCAAAATATCCCTAAGTGATTCTAAACTACTGTCATTTAGCTGCTTTAAAGTTAACATTTAATGGGACAAAAATTATCCAGAAGTTTTTCTTACCTGAATTAAACGCTGTCTAATATACTTTACTTGACGTGAAGAACTAATGTTAGTACACCACGATTGAGCTAATGAAACAAAAAATGTGCATGCCGCTACAGCTAAAAACCAAGCCGACGTATGGTAGATTTTTTCGTAGGGCACACCAGTAGGTTTCATGAAATCATTTACGATCCAACGGAAAATCATTATGGACAATGGAAAAGCAGCTCCGACAACGACGGTCAACAGAACTCCAAAATAAAAAATCACAAGATCACTGGTGCTGGCATACGAGAACTGTACATTGCATACATTAGCAGTTAATGAAAAAATGAGTTACCAAATCTTTATATCGAATACCAGTTTTTACAGAGGTTCTGTAAATTTAAAATTTTAATTTACTCATATATTTCACAAAATATTACCTCGTCTCATTTTCTGTTTTCATAAGTTTTGTGTGGCATTTCTTTGCAGAGCAAGACAAATCCTGCAAACGCTTTCGCGTCATAACAAAATAAAACCACCCTTGGTTTTCTTAATCATATATCGCTGACCTCAAGTTGACCTTGACACAAACGCTAATACGACCTACAGGAAGTTAAATTGAAGAATTCTAGGTTCAGATTCTGATAAATATTTTCAACTGAACATGAAAGATTTTGAACCTACATTAAACATTATATATGCGTACATATCAAATGTTCGTGGTATTGTATTTCTTTACCTAATGGGGTGTAGGAACTACTTCTTATGACAGTGGTTGATAAAGTTGATAACCCATTTGGAGAAACAATGAATTATTCTGTTACATCTCTTGAGATGCCATGACCTGGCAAACAGGAAAAAAGAAGTTCCACAGTCACCTCCTAATGTCTTGCTCACAATGATTCTATCTACCCACTGCGTGAGATATTATAGGTATCGATCTTCTGTATGATAAATCGGTCGCACCAGGGACTACACATGTTCCTTTTCTTTAAAACCTTTCCAGTGCGTGTCGGTCATCTTTTATGCAGGGAATGGATGCTCGTATGCAGCCAGGTAATCTAAACTTTACCAAGGATTCCAATCAAATAGTGCACATAAAAACGAAGTTACTGTAGCGGTAAATAGTTCCCCAAAATTATTGGCCACAGCATACATCACTGAACATTGGATGCCGATCCTCACTGTTTAGGTCAACTTGTTTAACGGAAGACTTCCAGTCAAGCATCCACGCCATTTGGTACTCCGTTATATCACGTTCGTTCTTTCGTGCACGATCCCTAGCCAGCTAAGCAATCATCTAGCAGTCTGATTTGGTCCCTAAATATCTCGTAATTTGGAACATCAATTTCGTTGTTTTCCTTTGCATTTGGTCTACGCGGAACGAATGCTACAGAAGTTGTGGGTATTAGATCTTGCGTCAGGATACTTCGTACTTTCCGTGAACGTCAATATCCTCAGCCTTTAAAATTCTATAGTATCTTATTATTGTAAGGGCCTTAAGCGTTGTCCACGGGTTTCTGAAGCTGTAGGCTCCAAGTAACGGACGTTCTGCCTTGAGAGTTAAGTCTTAACTTGCTATGACATCTAAGACATTGCTTGCCTGAACCGATGTTCTCTCCCAGTGTCATTTGTGCCTGGTGAGCATGATAACACATTTATCTGCGGTGAAAAGAAGCAGTCTTCCTTGTTGTCAACTTAAAATGTGGCTAATACCTTTTTCAAGTCTGAAGATGTTTCTGTCTTCCTTAATCTCACTTCAAATTTTTGGTTCATCGGAGTGGAGAACCGTGGATTTTGAATACAGTACTATATCCTTCACTCTTTATACCGCTTACAGATCATGCTTACCAACCAGTGATTCTGTAACTCCACTGAGTAGAATGCCTTATGTTCCTGGAGGTTCCCTTTACATGGGCGATTTCTAACGAGACAGTGTTCTGAGTGCCTTGCTGAAATCTGAGGGCAACTTCGACTACAGATTTGCGAAAAGTACCAGTTGATTTATTCTACTTGCACTGTACAGATTCTAGATTTCCAGTGTCATCATGGAGACAACGAAGTCACTGAAATATTAGTCTCCGTATATTATGATACCTCTGTGAGGTAGTCACCTTCTTTCGCAGCCAGGACTGCAGCGCATTATAATAATACCCATGCCCTGCTCCTGTTTTTCAGTCTACAGCGTAGTTCACTAATATGTCTGGCTGCTGCTATGCTTCGTACGGAGAGTTCGTAATAAAAAAAAGTGACCACTCAGCCACCTCCGTGGATTACCCAATCTCATTTCAGAGGTTTAACTCCACAAATAACCGACCCTTCACTATCTATAATCGTCATCATAAGTTTTCTGCAATCTGTGAGGCATATGTAAAAGGAGTAGTTGCACAATCTTTGCAGTGTATAAGCACTGTGGTGTATGAGTGTTTGACTTTACTGTGACATTGAGAAAGCAGGCCAACAGTTGGAGGAGATGAGAGATTATGTGCAATCACGGACCCAGCTGAAGGGGAGAGGAGAGACTAGAACAAAGTGGAGATGTGTTGTTGAAGCCTTATGTTCCACTCGGAACCCAAGGGAATAATCATAATATTATTTCCACCGCAATTATTCCTCATATTCATCACACGACTTCTAGACTTGTTTTACAGAACCGTACTCAATTCTGCTGTTTCATTACTGCAACCAAGTTAAGGATCGTGTCACTTCGATTGCACAAATTTAATGTTAATTCAATGGACAAACATCCAATCATTAGCTTCTCTTTCCACCTAACTACATTACTTTTCAATACCCTCACTGTGTCTCACTCTATTTTGTGATAAGTTACAAGTTAATGAAATTTAATGGCTGAGCTCTGTTTTTCTACGTTATTTAACTTAGCATAGTTCCAGTTAAATTCTTATGCTCCGGTAATCGAGTCGATCCCGTTCTAGTAGTCTGATCTATGCAATTGGAGAGTGAGTAATCTACTCCACTCTGGTCACTCAGACGACAATCCCAAGCACACTGACACAGTTAGTGGCTATCATGATATCACCAGTGATAGCCCAAGCCTTAATGCAGTGGGTGTTCAGAGATTCCTAACGAAACGCATAATAGGGTTTGACCAACCAGTGGAATATGTTGACAGGTGTATGCGTCTGAATTTAGAACCTCTGTGGTTAAGGAGAGTGAATTGCAGCTTATTTCTACTATTCAAAGTCATAAGAAAACACTGTTATAGTAACTCATCCATAACGTAAGAAAATATTAAATCATACCAGCTGCGAAACCACAACTACCTTGTCGAGGTGGCTATCCACAAAAAATCCATCAGGGTAAACGTTTTCACCATTAAATATCGCACTCTTTAGAACCAACTACCATCTGAAATTACATGTTGTGAAAACCCTGATGGTTCTGAACGGAGCCTAGAGAGACACATTAACATGTCCACCCTAGCTTGTTTAAAAGACCACAAATGTTGGTAAAATGGCAAGTAAAAGCCGGTCCAGTCTTCAGCTCAGTCAGTTACATATAACTAGACTCTACTACTTACGCAGCGAACGTTTAACTAATTTACTGATTTTCCTTTCTGTATAGACTTCAGTAAGTTATGTTAATATAAGTACTTCCAGAAACAACTATATTAGCAACCACACCTTTTAATATTTTACATATGTATATACAGTTATTAATACAATGCTATTTTTGTGTCTGAATGACTTTACTCAGCCAATGACCACCTTTTCTCATACACCTTCCTAAAACGTATAATCTTTATAATATTTCGCAGTATTTTTAACATTATATAAGTTGAAGGGTTACTTTGCAATATCTAATGCGCACGGTATGAAAATCGGTCATGAAAATTTAGCATAACTAGCTCTGTTAACCGGCTGTTTTCTTCAGGATCATTATACATAATTTTATCACTAATTGTTCCACTACACTTTTTACTCTGCTAAATAGACTTCAACTTAGTTACTGTAATACTAGCTACTTCTATACTTCATACTTCTTAAACACAATTTCCTAGGCGTCTGCCACAAATATATTATTAGTATTATTAGTACTATTTTTGAGTTGAAATGACTATCTTCAGTCAACAGTTACCCATTTTCATATAATTTTCTAAAAAAATTCGTATTGTTGAAATTATGTAGTATTTTTCCATTATGTAATTGATGAGTCACTTTGCAATGTGTAACGCACACCATATAAAATCGGTCGTGAAAATTCAGCATAACAAGTTCTGCTAACCAGTTGCCTTACTCAGGACCACTTTACATAACTTTATCACTAATTGTTCCACTACTCATATCACTGCTAAATAGAATATGACTTAGTTGCTCTAATATTAGATGTTTTTATACTTCATAACTCTTAAGGGAAACCTAATTTCCTAGTCTTTTGTAGTAATCCACTTGTTCACTAGTATGATGATAATAGTGCTAACTATGTCCTCTGGTATTATTGTGCCATGTGACCTAATGGGAAGCACTTGTCATGAAAGCTGTTAATGTGCAGCATACTGCATGATTGGGAAGGAGTCAAAGCAATCCAATATTACAACTGCAGTCATTGTAAAAGGTCTCAGAGCTTAATGTCAAAAAAGGAGGGAGGGTGGCGCATGCTGATCAGCAGATTTGGTAGTGGTCAAAAATGTGAATCGCTCCGATCTGTAGGACAGCAACATGCATTACTTTGGCAGCTCGAGAATTAAACATGAGTTTAGATACTGAAAGTGTAAAAAAATTGGCTTTATAAAAAAATTTAAAAAGCAAACAAACTAAAACAATAATGACTGTACAGTTTTAGCTTGTAAAAAAAATAACAATGCTTTCGCTCCTAACATCTACAAGCCTGCTCAGTTTCTTGTCAAGATGCTATCCCATGGGCCATACACAAGTTCGCCAGACATCCTACAGGTCACCATATTCAACAGGTTCTAATCCTTCTAGCCACTTCTCTCTAAAATGTCACTTATATACTTCACGATAATCCTTCTACCTAATTACTATTATACTCTATTTTATCTCAACTTCCTAGGCCTTTAGTAAAGCTGAAATTTACTCTTTTGTTTTTCTTTTTTCTCATTCACACTCTTCTCTCGCATAAAGTTCGGTTGCTCTGATGGTAAAAACATAACAACAGCACTCATGTTTGAGAATAACTTTATTTTCATAGAAAACGTCATAGTTTTCTAC